CTTCCTTGGCCTTCACGGAACCAAGTTCCAGAATTTGAAAAAGTGGAGGAATGCCACCAGCAGCAGTAATGGCCCACTTGCTTTCATCATTTTCATTAGATAGAAGAACTGCACATTCTTGCTGTTGTTCTGATGAAAGACCAAGAAGAGATATCAACAACTGAACACCTTGCTGGCCTTGAAGCGCATGCCATAGACTTCCTTAATTGTTGCAAAGTGTGAGGAAAGCTCTTACAAGCTCTTCATGGACTTCATCGGTTGCCATGGTGATCAATCCAACAAGCAACCTTTTTGCATCAGAATTTGCAAGTTCAATTGACAGTATAGTATCCCCATACAAACTGGCTAGGCTTCTATTGTAGTTCTTGCACAAGGAATGGTAAGCGATGTTGTAACCGATTAACAAAAGTCTGCTCAACAACCAAAGGATCTGATACTCTAGTAGATTCTGCTTTGCTGACATAAATCATTAAAACTGAAGCCAAAGCCCCAAGCGTGTCAGCAGTCTGAGCAGGTGAAGAACATGACTCAAGGCTTTGACCAAGGCTGGAGATGACATATGATAAACCACCAGAAATGTTTGCCAAAGCACACATAGCATTCTCCTGCAATGCTTGGGCAATACTCACCTTGCATGAATTCTTTTGAAGGAGCTATTGTAGCATTTATTGGAGCAGGAATACCATTGGAATTAGCTATTTCCCGTCTAGCTTATTTGCACTGGGCAGAAAGTGACTTAAGAGCATCTGCAGCCTCAGCTCTAACAGGGGCTTCATTACCAGGTCCTAATAGTTTAAGCAATTGTTTTGTAGCTCCGGCAGTCAATACCTTAGAACAAACAGATGCATCCTCCATCATCATATACACAAGAAGAAAGCATATGTTAGCTTGAGTGCTTGAGTGTCCAGTTGTGAGCAACTTTACAAGTATATCAATTGCTCCATCCTGTACTGTCGCTGACCAAAATCCCTATGTGCTGCTTGAGAGGTTTTTTAATGCTCCAGTCAATAAGTTATCAACCAAGTCTTCTGTTTTGAGACCATCCTGTAGCAGCTTCCAAAGCACTGCCATAACTCCCTGAGTTGAAAAAATCTTTGATCCAACATGATCCTTGGCACCACCCTGTGAAACAGCATAGATGGTCTTAGCTGCTGCAACTTGACCTTCTGCTGAGTTGGACTCGAGGGGGCCAAGCAATGGTGGTATGCAGCCCCCAAGCAAAACTTTAACCTTTAGTTCATTCTCCTTACAGAGTGAGCCTAAAACAGTTGCAGCCTGAATCTTCATATCAATTGCTCCATCCTGTACTGTCGCTGACCAAAATCCCTATGTGCTGCTTGAGAGGTTTTTTAATGCTCCAGTCAATAAGTTATCAACCAAGTCTTCTGTTTTGAGACCATCCTGTAGCAGCTTCCAAAGCACTGCCATAACTCCCTGAGTTGAAAAAATCTTTGATCCAACATGATCCTTGGCACCACCCTGTGAAACAGCATAGATGGTCTTAGCTGCTGCAACTTGACCTTCTGCTGAGTTGGACTCGAGGGGGCCAAGCAATGGTGGTATGCAGCCCCCAAGCAAAACTTTAACCTTTAGTTCATTCTCCTTACAGAGTGAGCCTAAAACAGTTGCAGCCTGACTCTTCACTCCAAGTGGTCCTGATAGGAGAAGAGAGACAAGAACTGGAACTGCCTGAGAGTGAGATCCAAAAGCACTAAAAGCATTTTCACGTGTGTCGATGAGTCCCAGCAATTGCCTCAAGGAATGCTCTTTCTCATCTAAAGATGAGGAACTCTGCCGCAACTGTTCAATGCATTGTGCAACACTCGCTAGTGTCCCATCTGGATCCTCCATGCTACTTGTACGATCCCTACAGGTGATTTAGGGCATAAGATAGTCAATATAGAATTATAATAGCTAATAAATAATAATAATAGCACACAAACTCAGTAAATCACCAAGAATGGAGGAAGATATATATTATCATGGACGATAATCAAGTGGTACTAAAGCAAACAGTCTCTATCAGTTACAAGTCAGGAGCAACAGGAAAAAAAATATAAAGGCCTATGATAGCACAATAAAAATAGCCAAAAAAAAATAGTGAAATAATGAGGCCCATGACAATAGAATCCAAGTCAAAGACGCCAAAATACCAAAGGGAAGTCAAAATATATTAGCTGGGGAAGCTAGAATGAAAACATAGTACATCTAATTAAATAGTTAACTAAACTTTATGCTGCTGTCGTACAGCAAATTTCGGACTGTTCTGTATTTAGTAAGCAACTCAAAGACCAGAATTATTTATCCACATTGTTCTCAGCTCTTCTTAGTGCAATGCATCTCAAGTCGTTGCATAAATATACATACAATAAAGCTTAGACTAACCTCAAACTCATTTTTATAATAGAATGTGGAGTTGGGGGCTCCGATTCTTGATGTTTTGCATCCACATTTTTTTCCTGCAACCATGAGAGACACAGAAATTGTTTGACGTCGATGATTCAAATTTATCCAATTGATTATAAATAGACATCCATCCACAGGGGAATGAAGTAGCCATGCGAAAACAATTAAAAAATGATAATATGATGATTGTAAGAAGCTACATGTAAAAAAATGGTACGGAAAACATAAACAAGAAAGGCATTGCAGTTCAGTTCGAAAGGTCTTTTGGTCAATCACAAAATATTCCCAACCTCACTGATTGTTCCAGGGGTAAGAGAAAGTTGAAAGTATAAATATAGAATTTCATTTTCTCTTTTTTTTTTTTTTTTTCTATTTTTGGTGTAGGTGGTTGGGGCCTGGGGAGAGTGGGTGTTTGTGGTTTTGGGGACAGCAATACTGGAAATTACCTACTGTATGGTAGTCAGAAAAAATCAGAGAATACAGTGAGACAAGCAACAAATATTGTTGCTTCACATATATCTCTGAACTAACCTCCATAACAAAAGGCAATCTTTTAGAGAAATGAAACCAAGTGATAGCATTATACATTTTTTTAGCTTATTTGCCAAAGTCTCAACTCATAAGCATCAGTGCATGTTAGTGACACTGTCACCTCACAGTAAATGATTTTGAAGATTGAAAACCTTAACTATCAATATAAATGGCTCTAAATAAATTACCAAAAATAAAGGCCTTCAACCAACATATCCACTATAAAATTTCTTGGTCTCATCATTCAAATCTTTTTCAGATTTCATCATCATTGAATTGCATTTCCATATTGAAGGCCAGAAGCACTATCTTCAGAGTGCAATGTGATTTAGTGCATTTATTTATTACCAAAGGTTGCAAAATGATAAACAAACCCCATAGCAAATAACACCTTAAACTTTCATAAATGGAACATATCGGTAAATTTACAATCCTTATACTTATCGGTAAATTATCCAAAAACTAAGTCTGAAAATTAGAACCATACCATATCATTTGCAGCGAGGCCACTGCCATTGTTGGCAGCGAACCTCCCCGCCAGTGTCGCCGCCAGCTTTGCTTTAGCCCCTCTCCAGATCCAACTCAGCCACTAGCGTCGTCAAAACATTAAAATTTCCTGCCAAACAGTAAAAGAAAATTGTTAAATAAGAATTTTATATATCAATCAAACCCGCATCAAGCAAAAATCCTCATAAATCAACAATATTGTGATCTCAAAAGGCTAGTAAACTAAAACTAAAGAAACGATTAGAGCAACAGATCACATTTCCAACACACCGATTTTCCATTTACTTTCTTTTCTAAGTTTTTCTCAAGAAACAAACAAAGAATGAAAACAAATATAAACTGATTTAACAAAAAAAAATTCCACCAAAAAGAGTTGAATTTTACCAAACTGAAAGTCAGTAAACGTCAGATTGACGTCCGATTAAAGAAAGGGGAAAAAAACAAATTAAAGAGTGGAGGTGAATTACTAAAATGAATGAAGTGAATTTGAGGAGCTTAGTTATTGAAAACGACAGCGGATCAATCAATCCTTTAATAAAAAAGTATTGTTGATTTTTCTTCTTCTTTCTGCTTTTACGGTTTTTTTTCCCTCTCTGAGAAAGAAAAAGGAAGAGCGAATGTTGTGGTTTATTTTCAGTTCATTACTCACCCACAGTAAGAGCCTACCCATTCACCGGACCAACGACGATTTGAAAGCTCTACTTCTCGGCTCAGCTTGGATTCTTCTTCTGTTCTAGGCTCTGTTCTAGGCTCGGCGTTTCTAACGATCGTATTTGGAGACTTTACTAAGGGAGACAAGAAATTTAATTAGCCTGATGAAATTGTTTAATTTTTCTTGCATTGTTTCAAAAAGTTTTTAAAAGAATGGTTTTGTTTAATGGATCTTATACAATAAATTAGAAATGAAGAATTTCTAGTTTAAAAAAAAAAGGAAAAAATTACTTATATATTTCATAATTTTTTTATAATAATTCTAATATTACGATTAAATTTAAAAAATCGTAAGTTACAAGAGTCAAAAATTTTATATCAATTGTATATAAAAATTGATTTTAAAATATAAAATTTTATATATTTTTATAAGATAAAATTTTGAAATAAAAAAAATTTAAATAGATAATATCTAAAAAATATATGAATTATGATAAAAAATTTTGATTTAAAATATAAAAAAAATGTATATTTAAATTTTGAAATTACGTAATTTAAAAACTGATTGGCTCTCAACTGTGACACAATCCCTATTGTATAACACTCAGGCACGCATTTTGTTTAACTATTTTCTTTAAATTAAAATTTATGTCAAAGAAAAAAAAAAGTAGACGCCATTAAATAGAGTATTTTTTTATTTAAAGTTATCAAAAATTGAATCTTGATGATTTAAATTAAAATTTTAATAATTTATTAATAGATCACAATTTAATTAACCTTTAAATTTATATAATTTACATAATTAATATGTATTCATTTATTAATTGAATGAATATCTCCACCAGCATTGTAAAATTTTTTGTTAATTCATCTGGCAACGGAAATTCTGGATATTGAAACAGCAAGAAGTCGAGAAAAAAATGTTCAAGATAACGATACATCAAACATACAAATTACAATCCTCAAAACATATCAACAAATTCGCTCTATATTAACAATGTCGTTTGCAAAAATGGAATGTTTGTTCCAACATGAAGGCCTAAATTGAGGAAATATGGACCTTTCCACTGAAGAAAAACAAAATTTTTATTTAGAGGATCGAGGACAATCTACACAATCTAGAGAAAAAATGCATCAAGAAGTTTTGCATAACCTTTTTGTTATATAGGTTGCCCGCAAGCAAAAAGACTGTTCTGCTTGCTGTATATATTGACTAGGAAAGCGAGAAAATTTCTTGGCTTAACCACTAATTCAATGAGGTTCGTGAGTTCCATACCAAGGCAATGTTTGAGCGACATATTCGGGACTCTAGGTAAGACTGATGCAAGTAGCATATGATTGAAGTACAGTTAAAGCTTGCTCTGCAATGGCCCTATTCCTTACTCGTTTCACCCAATCACCAACTATCTCTTCCGCTTGACTACCTTTGACACCTTGCTCAAGGGTGGCTGCTGCTTCGGCTAGCTTTCCTTCAGCCAAGTAATTATCAACTCTACTGATTAAAGACTCAATCCCTTCACCAGATTGGTCAACTTCTTTCACCTATAACGTAGTCAAAGGAAAGATTATCAGCAGCTTAGATCTATTATTATGTGAAAGGTAATCCCATTTTTTTATACCTTCAACCAGGTTGCAATATGTGCTAAAGAATGTGTCAAGATGCCACCACCACCGAGTGGAATTAGAGTGAAGTGCCTTAGGGTCTCTTTCAAGCCATTAAACTGCAAGAACAAATGTCAAACAGTAATACAAGAAAATTACTTTCAATGTTGTGAATCAGTATCTGTTAGAATTACTATCGATCACTAGAACTATTAACCGTCACTGCTTACAAACAACATGGTTGAGGCTACCAAAACTTGAAACACTGTCACATGATCTACTGCTAAATTTTGGCAACTCTAGCAGTATTCCTGTCAATCTTCAAACTAAACTCATAAAACTGCTTAGATGAAAGCTCATACTTTCGCCCTGTCTCCATGCTATAGCTAAGGTGCTAGTGAGAAGATAACTTACGAAATTCTGCCAGACCATTGATTTGCTGATGCCACTTAGATTCACCAGTGATCTAGCTAAGACAATTTATATCTGGCTGGCAGATCATGCGGTACATAAAGAGAAGTAATACTTCCTTTTCCAGTACAAAATCAGACCAACCATGAAAAGGAAGAAAAACAAAAGCAAAAGCATTTCTTAACAAGCTTATCCTCACCAGTCTAACCCATCGAATCAAACCAATCCTATCTCTTTATAGTCCTCTAGCTTTTCAAGATCATTCTTAATTGTCTATACATCATAAAACCCTTATTTTCCATTTGGTATCAGGTTGAGAAGGTTCAGAATAGAAATGAGCCATTAACTCTGAAACAAGAAGCAAACATCCTTCTAGGTTGCTTTTAAATGCATAACATATTGTTCTTGTCCCTGCTTTTTGTTTAATTTTTTATCCAGTTGATACTTAAATCCAGTTCCCAGCACCAAGCTCACAGCTGAAGCAAACAAGGGATTCTTACTGCTGTTACAGTTTACAGATTTTCAATAATGGGGGTCCAACTAGAAGCCTCGCTCCTTGACCAGCCAAAATAACATTGTAATGCTTGAGTGCTCTTCAAAAATTGAAGAAAATTTGGATTAAGAAATCAGACCTTGGGAAATTTGACTGCCAACCAACCTACATATTCTTTATTTCTCAATGTAATATGACTACAAAAACCAATCCTAATTAAATTGGGAGCAATATTAGGTAACAATAACGGAGGAAGGTGAGAGATGGATGTGCAAATAAGAAGGGTGGCAGAGCACAAGTTTAGTTCTCTTTATTTAGCATAACAAGAAAACTTTAACTTAAGTCCAACTTTCAGATATAATTTTTGCTAGTTAAAGACAATGAAACAATCATAAAAGCAGATCACGTTTTCTGCAGAGATAGGGGATTGTGGATGCCGCAATAAGAGGAAGAAAAGAGTTGACAAATTTATCAACAGGTGAAAGGGATGTATGTGAATGAAGCCAGGCATGTCTGTCCTCCCAGCTTCTAATTTTGGGAAAAACTAAGATTTTATATACTTTTAGCTTGCCTCTATAAAGCATTTAAAATTCTAGGCTTCCGTTTTGTGAAAAATATCATGCTAAAAGTAACGCATACAATTCTTGCATTGCATTCTGCAAAGGGCAAACTATCAACCATGTAACCAAAGATTTTATTAGTATAGATTTTATCATTCGATAGGACTTCGAATTCACTAGTATAGATTTCTAAAACTACGAAACAACTTGCCTTTTGATTCAACTCTAGTAAAGTGTCTGTTCCACGGTACCGAGTTTCTTCTGGAAGAGATGAAAGGACCAAATCTAATACTGAATCCTTCTCAATGCCTTCAAGGTAGTTATGCAGAGCATCTATTTCTTTCTGGATTGGTAATCCTTCAGAAAGTGCATCTTCTAGTGCAAGTGCTCCCTGTAGGACCAAAGAACATTCAAATTATGGGGCAATAATTTACAAGTTGAGAAAAATTATTACTAAGACTATCAATCACTATATAACATAACTCAGGTTCCCAACTAAAAGTAAAATAACATGAGACTAAGAACAATGAAGTAAGGCGAAGAAGGTACCAAAGCGAGCTTGTGAACAGAATGACTCTTGCGTGCCTCTTCAGATCGTGCATAAAATGCCATACATAAGGCATTTATCTACAAAAGAATAATTCAGGCCATGTTTAGGGCCTCTAATCACATTCATGGTGCTGAATGGCTAATAATAAACAGCAAATATTGATTATGAACATTATTACTCAAGCATATATGGAGCATAATAACACATGTTTATTGCCCCTACATCAGATTCATCTGAACAACTAACAAACAATAAATCGAGAAATGCATTCACAATTATTGGTTTTAACTGATAAATATAAATAGTTTCCAATTTAGAAGACTGTTTTTTAATTGAAGTCATACTCATTCATCCTAAAATAATTGTTCATGTTTGATTTGGTACATTACAAATCAAAGAATATATCATAAACTTTTCTGGCTTTCATTTCTTTGTACAAAAATAGGTAGTACTAGTTAAACTTCATTTTGGTTTCTGTAATGTTGGAAATCTAATTAAACTGTTTAGATCATCAATCAACACATTCCAGCAAATGATCATATCCAGAAAATTTTAATGGCAAAATCTTAGATTTTGTGATCAATGATTACTTTTAATGAGTTCAATTTTCAACACAATGGATTTTCATTTTTCATGTCAGATCTATATATATTTAGATATTGTAGACAATGTCTAACAAACACAAGGAGCATCACCATAGAGAACACAGAAAGTATGGAAGTTGATACTGCATTAAACTGAAAGCTAAAAGCATTGATGTCTAACATTTGGATTGTCACTTTGCCCTGCATGCTATATGCCCTAAAATAAGAGCCACAAGGTTTTATATTCCAACCCATCATATGAGAAAAATCTAGCAGCATAACTTTTAAATTTCCTTGTTCCATCTTTTATCAAATATCAATGAAAAGCATTTTTTTAGTTCATTTTTTCATCCTGAAAGGTAGCAAAGTTCTTTTTTTTTTTTTTAGTTTTTTATTAAAAAAATTCCAACAGGAGATAGCTTACATGGAGATTTGCTTCAGCCATTTTTTCGATCTGTGTTGCTTTCTCATTTGCAATTGCTGCAGCCAGTTCTGCTTTTCCTAACTCCTGAGCCTTTTGCAACTTCAGTTCAGCTTCTCTTTCCTGCAATAACCAAGAACTAACAACTTGAGTTCATGAGTAATGAAATTACGCTACAGAATTCTTTTCTAGCATAAATTTATGTACCTTTTCTTCAAGTTCCATCCTATGTTTCTCTTCCAATTTTTCTTTAAGCAATTTTATAGCAGCTGCTGCTTTTGTTCTTTCTCTCTTTAATTCCTGAAAGTGGTAAAGTCCAATTCTCAGCAGCTTGAATCCACAAAATTATATAATCACCAGTCTTTTCTTTTACTTGATTTTTTACCCCTTTTGAGGGCTTATAACTAATATGATCATTTCTTTTAATCCATCTGTAACTAAACTGTGACCTTCCAAGGTAAAAACAGCAAAATAAGTATGCTCATCAAAATCCATAATACATAATCAAAGAATAGCTTAAGTTGATTAATAAATATGCAGACGTAATTTCATTAACTAGCATAAAAATTCAGAGAAACCGATTGTGATGGATCGTCCCAGTTTAATTCATAGTCTTTGTCTTTCCTTATGCCTTACAAACAGACCGACATTGTTCCACACAGATAAACAACACTTACCTTTTGTCATATTACAAACAAAACAGGAAAAAGCCAAATCTATAAGATAAAATAAAAATTGCATGAACTCCATTACATGGGATAAATATTTTCTTTAAGGTGGTGAAATGTTAGAGCTTCACCGATCAATCACCACCTAGAATGTGCATTTCTACCATGCGTTGGGTGATCAAGCACTACAGCACCCTCAACTTTAATCAAATTGCTTGTGTTAGATGAAGCGCCAACCCACCTATTCTGACTAATATTCAGTCCTGACATACAGATTCTACAGATACAAAGAGCAAATGGATTCACCATAACCCTTAAAGCATGAACTGCAGATGGTAACCATGATGGCTAAGTGGCAAGGTTAAAGGGAGGGGGGAGAGATAGATATGTGTTAGAAGCCATGCTATCAAATATGTGTCACTCATAATGTGGACGGTAGAAAAAAAATAAAAAAAGAAAAACCCTCTTCAAGGTTAAAGGGAGGGGGGAGAGATAGAAATGGGTTAGAAGCCATGCTATCAAATATGTGTCACTCATAATGTGGAGGTAGAAAAAAAAAAAAAAGAAAAAATCTCTTTTGGAGGAGTTCATTCATAGAAGAAATTTTGAAAGACAATAATTTACTTAATGCCACAATAAGAGATATAGTTCAAAAAGAAAGAAAAAGAATCAATTTTATTAAACCCTTACAACAAAAAAAAAAAAAAAGAATCAAAAGACACAAGTACTACAAAAAGAGACGGAAAAATTACTTATTTTTCCTAACTTTTGATTTTTACATAGCAATGAAAAAGGAGAAAGGAAAGCATCATCACCAATCTACGAACTAAACTGAGTTTTAATGGTGATTGAAAAATGATTTTGAAAGACGTCATAAAAACAAGAGTCTAAAATGAGTTATGAGTTATGACCTAAGTGATTGATTTGCGAAGCAAGAGCAAGAGAAAAGAGCAAGTGAGACCATGAATGCATCAGTCAATAACATGTGAGTAAGAAATAAAGAAATCCAATACGCATAGAGCTGAGAAGCAATGACAAAGAGTTTGGTTATCAATCACAAGAAATATAACATAATAAAAACAAGGAAAATAAAAAACAGCCATAACCTTATCCAAAATGGCTGCCTCTTCTGTACGCATCAGTTCCCTGGCTCTTGAATCCCTTAATTCCTTTTCATATTTCTCCTAAAGAAAGAAAAAAAAAAGGCATTAGCAAATGGTATGGCACGACCAAAATGAAGTTGCAGAAATTAAGAATCCAGATAATTTATACTAGAACATATAGTGAAAACTTCAGACCTTCAATGCTCGTTTTTCTTCAATAAAAGCATGTGCATCCAACTCAGCTTGCCGCTTTTCAGCAGCATGAATGGTTTGTAGGAAATCAAGAACTAGTTTTCCATCCTTCAATAAATATCCCACATTCGGTTCATCAATTGCTGAACCAAAAGCCTAAAGTGTTAAAAAGAATAAAAGCCTAGTATTAGTTGGCATTTTCCCTTATCATATGTATTAAGCAACAAATAGAAGATGTAAATAACCTCTGTTTCTTTAGAAAGCTGCTCATATTTTATGTTTAGAGAAGTTAAAAAGCTTTCATCTGCCTTTTCCCTAAGGTGATAGGCATCAAGAAGAGAACTTAGAGCTTCTATATCTTTACTTGGTTTATCCTGCAGCAAAGTAACATCAAATGTGGTTTTGTATCAAATCTGATAAAGATAAGCAAGCACATACAACACACACAAACACACATAACAGTCTTCCCCAATTAAACACAAAGGCATAAAAGAAGCTTTAATCCCTCAGATGTTGCAACACTAATCCAGTTTCTAGGGGGATCAAACTTCCCTATAAAGCCTTTCCTTGCCTAGAAAATAAACAAGGGAATGTAATGGTTCTTTCTCATCCGAAAGCATTAGCTATGTATCCAAAAACAGTAGACAGCCTCTGAATCATTAGCATATATATTCACATATAAAATGAAGAAAGCCTTCCAATTATACTTCTTGTTTTTATCCCCTTTAAACCAACAATGTGCTGAAGAGCATGATAAACACAAGGCAGGTTCCAAAGTTAAGAAAAATCATATAATGAAAACAAGAAAAACCATGGCAACAAAGAGAGTTTTTAATAAGTTTCAAGGACCGACCTTCAAAAAATAGCAATGGTTCACGTAGGCATTCCAAGAGGTTACGAATCAGAAACGACACAAATGTAAGTTGTTAAGAAAAGAAACCGATGAGGGGAACAAAGGATACCTGTTGTATGTCTGATGTAGTGGGATGCAGAGATGACACAGTTTTTATTTGGCTTTCTTCAGGGGCTAAACTAGGTGCTTCTACTCCTTTTCTTGTTTCATCCTGTAACAAAGGAACACCAAAAGTGGATCATATTGAGCCTGTGAAGTATATGTGAAACTAGATAGAGATAGTATTTTTCTGGTATCAGCTTTTAGGAATGTACAGTCAGCCTAGAGAACAGGCAGGTTGTGTTGCTGCCATCTCACTCGACACTCGTCATTTAAAAATGCAAAGACATAAAAAGAGATCCAATGCCTAGAAGTTACAATGGTTAAGCCAGTCTCTTTGTGAATGAAACCTCCGCATAAAGCTATGCCCAACCTAGAAAACAAAGAAAGGCACCATGGTTCTTTGACATCCTGAAAATTTTCTTTACGCACCCATGCATACAATTAAGAAAGATGGCTAGATTCCAAGATTCAGGTAGATTATATTGAAAGAAACGTGAATGTGCATAGATACACGCATGATGTGCCAATGGTGTTTGTTGGAAAAACAAGTGACAATTAGCTAAGGTGTGTCACTGTCAGAAACAACACAAATGTAGGGTGTTAAGAAGAGAAACTGATGAAGGGAACAAAGGATACCTGTTGTACGTCTGCTGTAGTGGGATGCAGAGATGGCAAATTTTTTATTTGGCTTTGTTCAGGGGCTAAAATAGGCACTTCTGCACCTTTGCTTGGTTCATCCTGTTACAACGGGAAACCAAAAGTGGATCATATTGAGCCTGTGCAGTATAAGTATACCTTGATAAAGATAGCATTTTTCCAGTATTGGCTTTTAGGAATATACAGTCAGCCTAGAGAACATGCTGGTTGTGTTGGTGCCACTTTACTCGACACTCGTCATTTAAAAATGCAAAGACATAAAAAGAGATTCAATGCCTACAAAGTTACAATAGTTAAGCCAGTCTCTTTGTGAATGAAACTTCAACATAAAGCGATGCCCAACCTAGAAAACAAGGAAAGGCACCAGGTTCTTAGAGATCCTGAAAATTTTCTTTATGCACCCATGCATACAATTAGGAAAGACACCTAGATTCCAAGGTTTAGGTAGATTATATTGACAGAAACATGAATGTGCATAGATACGCACTTGATGTGCCAATGGTGTTTGCCAGGCAAACAAGTGACAATTGGCTAAAGTGTATTGCTGTCATAATTAGGTCGTTGAAAGATAGGAATAGATTAGCAATACTTTACTAACAATAACAAAGTAATCTATATTGTTTATCTGATCACCCTTCAATAGAAGAACAATGGCTTGCATAGGCATTATCCCTAAAAGATAGAATCTGTTATTCTTCAAAATTTCATAGCATCTATAAGTTCAAGAGATCAGCATCAACATAAATATAGGGGGTGCAGAAAAAAGGGTACCTGTGGTCTGTCGGTGGTAGGGGAAGATGGCACACTTTTTGTCTCCTTTTCTCCAAGGGATGCACCTGATTGGGTATCCAATGGAATATCTTGAATTTCCTTGCTTCGTACTGTTGCAGTTTCAGACTCAACCTTTTCAAGATTCCCCTCAGCTGATACAGCAACATCTACACTGTGATCAGCAGATGGCAAGCTGCTCTGAGAATATTCTGATAATGCCTTTTCCGGTACAGGTGTTGTGCTTTCTCCAAGTGTCTCATTCGACTTATCTTCCACATTAGACTTGTTTTCACCTTGGGTTTCACTCGAAATTTCATGCTGAGGAGGAAGATCGATAGAAGTTGCAACCTTTTGCTCCAGCAAGTCCTCATAAGGAGTCAATTTGTTTATTTCTTCATTATGGGAAGAAACAACTTGGATATCCTTTTCATTTTTCTCATCAAGACCAATCTTCGTCGAATCAAAAGAAACCTTGGGGCCTTCGCCAAGATATTGATCTAAGTATCCAGCTTGGTACGCAACCAAGACAGCACCACCAATAACAGCACTTCCGATGACGACTTTTGAGAACCCACTCTTCGATTCAGGTGGACCTCCGGCTGAACCAGGTTTTGGAGTAGCATTTTTTCCAGGTGAGGTCGAAAATTCCTCTCTCGAATAAATAAATGGTGATGAACGCTACATTTTTCACCACGCGTTATAGATAGAACAATTATTAAATAGTGCATTGGAACTCGAAATTTGATACTGAAACTTAAAACATTTCAAATTACCTGGGATATAATCTGCCTTGGTATTCTCCGAGGAGACCCTCGGCGACGCGATAATTCCAAAATTGACCTTCGCAGCATGCTGCCAGTTTACCCTTTTTTGAGTAATTGGGATTTTGAATTTATATTGCGGTGAAGGTGTTTGCGTAAATGACTGATAGAGGAAGTGAAGTCTTTCTCGTGGTTAAGCGAAGAATCACGATCGCTTTCCCGGGGAGATGAGGCGGGTTCCAAATGCGGATCGCCTTTTGGGACTTGAAACGTGGAGTTGGAAGCGTCTAGTAGGGTGCGTCTGACAGCCGGAACTATTGAACGTTACTCTCTTTTTTCACTACCTATTTTCATTCTTTTTTTTCGTAAAAAACAACTGTTGCTGTTTCCAATTCCACTTCATCTTTTATTTTTTTCGTTACTAACTTATTTTAATTTGTATATATTTATTTTAAAAATTAATATTTATTGATTAATAAATTATTATTATCTGTTTCATTAATTGATTAAAGATATTTGATGAAATATTAAAACATTAATTTTGAATTAAATTTTTTTTTTATTTGTATTAAAATTTTATCCTCAAAAAATATATAAAATTTATATTTATTAATAATATGTTAAATATAAATTTTTATAAATAAATCAATTTTAATAGAACACTAATCAAGTAATTAATTCTTACTAAAATTAAAACCAAGTAAAATGCAAAATTAAGTCTAAGACAAATTTTTATTGAATAATATGTTAATTTTCTTATTGTTGAATTTTTATTATTTTATTATTATCACATTATTGTGCATGTCTAATAATAATCTCCCAAAAGTTATAAATTGTTTTAGATTTTTTTTTTAGCTTGTGAAAAATATTTTAAACAATGAAATTTATAAAAATGCAAAAAAAAAAAAAAAAACAAAAAGAAGGATAATATTTTTCTTTACTTTTTAAATAATAACAATAATATAAAAACATAAAATTACAATTTTTAATTAAAAAGTTGTGATAATTACATATTACCCTTTTTTTTTAAGCTTTACTTTTTTAAAACTATTTTGGTCAAATTACATAATTTTATGTATAATAATATAAACAAATTTAATTTATATTTTTTGAGATAAAAATGTTTATTCAGAATATATGAAATTACAAAATCATCATTAAAATTACAAATAACTTTTGTAGTCATGTGTGCTACTGATATGACTTTCGTAAATATCACATCAACAATTTTTTTTCTTTCCCATTTATATTTAAAGAAGGAAAAAAAAATTATTAACATGGCATTTATATATTTAGAAAAAGTTACATAACGATTCCCATAATTAAAAATTTGTTGCAATATATTTTATAATTAATTATATTTTAAACTAACATTTTATCTTAAAAAATAAAATATTAAATTTATTTAAATTATGAAAACTTCTAAATGCACCTTAGTTTTTTTTTTTTTTACTTTTTACATCAAAAATTTATTATTTTATAACAAAATATCCATTAATAAAATTACTTAATTATTTTTCTATTTCTTAGCAATATTACGAGAAAACCATGAAGAAAAAAAAAAAAAGAATTTCACAATAATGTAAAAAAAAAAAATGTAACAAAAGCTTACAGATTTGCAATTAACTTTTAGATGAACTTGTGATTTTAGTTGTATTGAAATTTTTATCGAAACCGAGAAAGAGGAAAAAATGGAGAAATGAATATGAAATATGTTTAGGAAAAAGAAGAAAATGAAAAAAAAAAAGTGTAATGAACAAAAATATATGTTTAAATTTTGAATTTATAATATAAATAAAAATAATATATTAAAAAAATACAAATAGAAGCTGCCTGAAACTATTATGCAGAATAGATTCTAATTTTTGCATTGTTAAATGACTTACCCATGGTAACTATTTTTTTCGCCGGCATCCTCTGGACTCTGGAGAACTAACTAAAGCTGCCGCCTTCAGTCCCTCGCCGACCCGCCAAATCAAAACCAAAACACCAAAGCGCACAACAGTCAGTCGCCACTCTTTCTCGCCTGTTTTCAGCCGTTTCGGTGCTAATATTAAGAACAAAGAAAGAATGGGTCACAACAAGCCCCGGCGTTTCAAAACCCACTCTCATCGGGGACAGTCAAGCAGAAACCATCAATTCCAAAGGTAATTTTTCAAAACCATCCCCACTTTTCCAGTTAACTTTTAAACTCTTTCTACTTTCTAAACCCATCTTCCAACTTTTTTTTCTCTACTTTTTCCAGGGAAGATGATTCTCTCCCACCTGATCAATGTACCAATTCTACAACCACTTCTTAATTACTTCTTTAGTTATCCTATTTTATTCAATTTTCGTTTGGGTATATCAGATGTTTGATGTTTTGCCGCAGTGATAACTGCTTTTTTTTTTCCTTCTCCGTTTGCAGCACCTGAGGAGGACCCAAATGTTCCTAAAATTCAACTTGCTATGTGGGTGTGTATTTTCTTCTACCACCTTTTCTTTTTTCATTAGTAAGGTTTTTTTTTTTTTCTTTTTTGCTAGCTATTATTGAAGTGTTTATGTGTTGGTAGAATTTGTGCTAGGAAACTTTTGGTTGATCAAATCCTGGATGATATCTCTTTACATTTTTTAAAAAATAATTTCTAAATTCCCGCAACTTCTGAAATATTATTATCATATTGCCGGAACCAATGGCTATCAAAATTCTAATAGCCTAGCAATGTCAAGTTGTTGTCCTCTTGAGTTTTCAGTTTTATCCAATCTTGGGTTTTTGCTTATTGTCGTGATGAAATTGATCAAAAATGATGTTGGCCTTTTTCTTTTTTTTAATGGTTGTTTGTATCAATTACCCTCATTATTTTGATTTATTGACTCAGGATTTTGGACAGTGTGATGCAAAAAGGTGCACTGGGCGTAAACTTGCAAGATTTGGGTTGTTGAAAGAAAGTATCTGCTATACACAATTCCCTTCAAATTTAATTTGGTTATGCATATTTGAGTTTGTCTTATTTGTATCATGTTAGATGTGCTTTCCCTTCCGTAGACATTGTCATGCAAAAATTATACTGTAGTTGTTGTAAATGAGAAATGTGTTGTAATAAAGCTGTACCATAGGAGATATTGGAATAAGTAAGAGTGAAGGATAAGTTAGAGACTTTGGGTGTGAAATTGGGTTATGAATGCCAATGGGTGTTTGCTGGCATTGTTATCAAATCTATTTTGAGCAATAAGATGTGCAAGCTTTTATATACAGAAAGGAAGAAGAGGAAATTTCCTAGAGAACTGCTTTGGGTTTTAGGAAAGAAAAGAAAAAGAAAAAATCAACATAGAATTGTTGGAGGTATTGACTCTTGGTTCTAGGGATAAAGACTACCATTTAGCTTATTCATCTGATCCAGATAGATTATGCAATTATAAGTGGTCCTAAACTTATGCTTTAGGAAAATGAAGTTTCACCTTTCACTTCCGGGGATTTGGAAAGTGGTTCAAAGATTCTTAAACTGTGATCAGGCTATTTGTTGATTTTAGAATCTTGCATTAATTACCTGTCAAATGATTCGCCAATGATCAATTTAGAGAATAGTAGTAAGTTCAATTTAGTTTCCATAAGATCAACCAATTAATTCATTAATGTTGGTCTATAAGGACATCTTCACTTTCTACTAATCTGGAGCATTGAATGATTTCATGCAGGACTTGCGTGTAAATAGTGGTTTTGGGGGCATTGTTTTAAGGTACTTTCAACAACTTTTTTTTTATCTGGGGAAAAGGAGATTCAAACCCAGCTTTTTTAGCAGGGGGATACGTGCACCTAGTATTGAGCCAAATGCTCAGGGTGCTACTTTCAACATTCTTTATGGTGTATCTCATCATCTCAAACAATATCACCTCATATTTGTTCTTTCTTACTAATATTTTCCTCATGGCTAATTCTAGACTGATGCATGCATCTAAGAATACTCCTGATTAATGTTGAAAGCAAGCTGCCGGCTCTGCTATTACTTTTACCAAACAGTTTTTGCAAGCTTGTGTATTCTACTTCTTCATGCTTTGTTTTGACTTCCATAGTTTTCTTATTATCTGCTTTAAACCTCTGTTGGCAGTCCTGTTGGTAATCAATGTGTCTCAAAAGAAGATTACAACTTAATGAAGAGGAAAGGATTAGCTGTTGTGGATTGCTCATGGGCACGTCTGAGTGATGTACCCTTCATGAAGCTTCGGTGTGGTGCTCCTCGCTTGTGTATGAATATCAACTTTAAAATTGCTTGCTATTTGAACTAACATGCTGCATCTTGTCAAACATGTAGATTTGGTTTTTGCCTCAACAGTCTATTAGTTCTTGTTTTGTACTCGTATACTGTCATCCCAAAATTACTGCTAGTATGCAATTGTTATCCATAATGATTGGAGATCCATATGATGTCTTCAGTGTTGAATTTATCAAATTTATTCTCAAGTCAATATGTTGCAAACTTTTGCTTAAATCTTGTGGAACAATCATGACAGCCTTTTCATTGATATCAACAGTAACAAGTCCCCATTGATCTATTCTTTTCTTGTTACACTAAGAAGCCAGGAGTTCTTTCTTGATTTTTTTTTTTATTGAATTGTATGAATCAAATAGTTGCCTTGATTTTATGACATGTGCAAGTTGATGTCATTGTTCTCGCACTGTTGTGGAATTTCAGTACTTAATGTGTTTGATGATGTTTTAATATTAACATTATCAGGGCTTGCTTGCTATTAATAGTATTTTTTAGATAAGCTAGATGTATGTTTTACTTGCAATTTGATTTCTATTTTTGATGCCGAGGTGATACTTTATGAAGTGTTTATTCCCTAGTTGATGTCTTATTATTCTGTTGACTTTTTATCAACTCATATTACAGTTGTTTTTTTTGAGTGGCATGTTACAGTTATTACTTGTATATAAACTCAATTAATTTCACTTGCATCACATATGATGACAAAATTTAAATGACAACTTGAAATTAATAATACTTCTGCCTATGCTTGTTATTGCATTTTTTATATTCACTTTAGTTGGCTTTCTTACATTAAACATTTTAGTGAAAGTATACTTGCATATTGTTTGGCATCTGTACATTCCCCTATCCTCATTAAGAGTGATTCATATTTTACTGGTTCTCCATAGTTTTCAGTTCTCCTGTTTTATGAATTTGATCAGTTTCTTGGAATTGCAGTGCCATGGCTAGTGGCTGCAAACCCAGTAAATTATGGTCGACCATGTGAACTATCATGCGTAGAAGCATTATCTGCAGCTTTACTGATATGGTACTTAACTTCTTTCCCCAACTACCATATGGAACGCTCCACAATCTATAGCAGTTGTCTTGCCGAATGCATTTGTGCATGCTCTGAGCCTCTGACAGCTATGAGCTCTGGTTCTGTTTAAAATGGTGCATATTGTGATTTTAATCTGTTGGGACTTGGGAGGGATGTGCCATGCTAGCTGTAGTGAGTATGAATCATATTTTAAAAAATTAATATTTTGGAGCTTATTCTATGGCCTAAATATAAATTGTGCTCGTGCCCATGCATGTAGGGGAACATCTGTTTGATATAATGGCATTTTGGTTTGTACTAGTCATGCTGCTTTCTGGCTATATGAATGTCAGTAGAGCCTTGGCATCATTTGAACTTTGGAATTTTATAAAACTAAGGATACATCCCTTACATATAGCTCTGGCATTGATTCCAAACTTAAGTAAGATTTATTTTTTAACGAAGATATTGGTCTGGCATTCTTAATTTTTTCCCAAGACGCAAATTGTGAAGTTAATATGTCACTGAGAGTCAGAAATCTTCTGATTTTTTGTTCCTTTCCATTGTTTTAACAGTGGGGAAGAGGAAACCGCAAATTTGTTATTAGGCAAGTTCAAATGGGGTCATGCCTTCCTGTCCCTTAACAGGTACTTTATTATTATTTGGTCCAAAAAGTTCTAAATTGGTTGAAATGCATTATCATGTTGAAGATGGAAAACATCAATTGAAACTTGAATACTGCTATAAAGATGTTGTACTCAATGCTTAAAGATTGAACTAGCAGTCACTTATCTTTTTTTTCTTTCCAAAGGGATTGCTAGGAAACTTGCAACTCTATTCGATTCTAAATTCCCATTTTTCCATATAGAGCTGGCTGATGTCTCAAAAGACATTTATAAGAGATCTCCTAAGTACTAATTGAATTCCCACATGAAATCATATAATCCAAATAAATAGATCCAAAATAGACAAAGTATGTAATGTAAACCTTAAGCAATCATCCTCTGATAATGCTCTCTAAATAGGCATAATAGAAAAAGCTAAAACCTAGCCATCATTTAAGCTTACTTTAGTTCATTTATGTAATAATTATTTTTTATCTATTATGCCTAAAATTGCATGAATCTATGGGGCTGTATTTATTAAAGCTACCTGATCATATCAAATTCCCCTTGAAACCACAAGCATACAAGAGCACGTGTTCAATATTTTTCATTTTTTTTCTCATGGAATTTAGAGGGATGTTTATTCATGCTTTTTATTTCCATCCATTGCGATTGGTATCCAATACTTGGCTCTCAAGTTCAGGAAATATGGGTTTATTTGGGTTTTTGGTTAGCTAGAGGGCAAGGTTATAAATCTAAGTGAGCTTGGAATGTATTTGGAGCTTTGAACGCCCATCAGAAAATAAGGCCCAACTACTAGTAAAGAAGTTATGGAACCAGTTATCTGAAAATTATTGTAGAAAGCATCCATATCATGTACTTCCTGCAAAGTATTTCATATTCGTATTGATTTCAAGCAACATTATTTACAATAGAATTATCTCATCTCCTTTGATGGATTGACATACTTCTTGACACATTTTCTGAAATTTTTGGCTAATTTGATTGGTTTAGGGAACTTTTGAAGGCATATTATGAATGTGAAAATAGTGCTGACATCATATCAGTACAAAATTCTTGGCTTTCCCAACAAAGTCAGGTTCCAAAGGTTCTGCCGGATGCAGAAGGTAAATTTATTTTTGCAATTGTCAAGCAAAAATAAAAAAACCCTTTTTCGATGTCATTACCTCTTAGCAACATCTGCAATTTTTTTTATGGGACTGATGGTAGGAGTAGACGATCAATACTACTGCTACAAACTAATGCTTTTCTACCTCATGGGGATGGCTACAGTGGGTCCTATCATGCCATTATGCTATGTTTAGGCCATAAGTTGAGCAAGTTAAGTATAAGCAAGTTCCTTTTTGTTAGTTTCCATCTATGTCTTCTTTGGTCCTCGCTTCCCTCTTTTGACACAGACATTCTCCATTTATCCACATATTCTTATAGGGGAATTTTTAGACCTTCTCACGTGTTGAAAGCACCATAAGTTTCAATTTCGCAATTTGCCCTTAACCAATGCTATACCAGCTATTGTTTCCCAAAGACGATGATGCCATTTCCAGTTGGTGCCATTTCTGATCCTTGATTGCTGCTGTTTCTAATGATTAAAATATACTTTTTGGCTGATGACCTATCCCTCTGCCCTGCAACACTCTCTCACAGAACACACGCACCATCTTATTTTCTCTAATTTGCTATTCATCCACATTTACCTAGGGCGGGCCTATGATGTGCTTTATAACAAGAAGTCTATCTGGTAGTTATTTTACTTTGAAAACTTTTTCCCTTCGTTACTTGTCATGGATTTAATTACCTACAATTTCATCAAATCAAGAATACATACACATTCACGGTTTTCAGTACTTTTAATAGCAAATTAACAACTTTAAGATGTAAAAGTGGCCTGATAATGCTTTTACCTTCTGATGTTATGTGAGCAGACATCAACGAAGGTGAGGATTCTTCCAGTGATTCTGAAGACGGGCTTCCTCCCCTTGAAAGGAATATGAACCATTTGAGTTTGCATGAAAGTGACGATGAAAGTGAGTAGGTAGGATCCTACAGTGGTTTCAATCACATTGGAGATGCAATGAATCAAGGAGCAACCAACAAAGCAATGCGGAGTCAGAAGTAAGCAACATGAGAAATGCCCTCATTATAACTTTATTTATATGTAGCATACCGGTTATGCTTTAAATATTAGTAAGTTGAGTTTTACTGCAATCCAATTGTGTTTGGGAAATGTATTCCAGGGCCATTTTCTGGATATGCTGTAGCACATGGTTGTTGTCTTCCTCTAGAAGCTTGTTTTCCTTGCTCGAATGCGCTCAATTTTGGTTGTTTAAGAACTGTGAAGGCAAAACCACCGTCCTGAATGTGCTTTTGCTCTTAATAGAAAATTTTACCCGGCTTCGCTCGGATCACAATTTTATTAAATATAAATAAATAATAAATATTTATAAAATAACATCTCATGTGAACAAATCAATAAATTCATTCAATTAAAATTTTATTAATGTATAAACTAAAAACTAAAACTTAATTTCTAATGATACAAAACTAATAATTTAGGCTTTTACAACATATTCAAACGTAAAAGATCAAATTAAAATATAACTATTTGGAATTTGCTTTATACGTATTTATATTATTTAATAAATACGTTAAATTTAACTAACACTAATTGTTAAGTACATTTGTTTATAATTAATTAAGTACATTGATATTATAGATTTATAAATAACTAAGTTTATAAATAATTTGATTCACGCAATTTGAATTTAATTTATGGTTATTTATATTATTCAATAGTATATTTGAATTTAGATTCAAAATATTAAATTTAAAACATTAAATATGAAGTACATTCATCCATTATTGATTAAGTTATATAATGAATTCATGAATTGTTAATTTCATGAACAGTTAATTTATGAATAATTAAATTCATTTATGCAATTTAAAGTAAAAATTAAAAATATTAGTGAATAATATTCATGAACTAATCAACCGTAAATTTTATCATCTATCTCTTATAATTAATTCAATTTAATCCAATCAAAGACTTACAGTTAGAGACATGTGTTATTCAATTAGATATTTAAATTGACCAAATGTCATTGTTAATAATTTTTCTCTTTCCTTTAAGAATTTTTTTTTGATTAATTTCATTGCAGTTTAATTTCTATTCTTATTTAAAGTAAATTACTCTTCTAAATAAAAAAAAAAAAAAATTTATAAGTTTGCATCAGATTGACAAAAATAAAGTCTTTATGAAAAAAAAAAGCAGCTTTTAAAAAAAAATATTTCTGATCAAGTTCTCTTTTTCTTTTTCTTTTTTAATTTTTGATTTATTTTTTTGCATTTGTTGAAAATAAAAAGAAAAAGATAGAAAGAGAGTGTCGGATATAATAAGAGGAATTAACTAAAAAAAAAAATTATTATACAAACACTTGGCATAAAATTAGATTTCAGTGAACAAAAGATATTCAGTTCCAATTTTGAGATTTTTTTTTTTTTTTTTAAATTTCAAAGGGTAGAACCCTACGTTAAAAGGGAAGGGAGGGATGATGTCTTCTTAAAGTTTTTTTTGCCACTAAACAAAAAAGCTGAAGACAATTTTGAGACTACTTTCATTATATTGTATAGATTTCACGCATTAGAAACATTATTTTGGGTCTATGCTCCACACTCGGCTTCTTCCAAAGGATATTTGGGGAGCTATCATCGCTTGCTTTCCCGAATTTCTCGGACTATGCGAAGCTTAATTTCAGAGCCATCACAGCTTTGATGCACGATTTCCAGCAGGTGTGATGAAATGTTAAAGCCAATATAGGTAAAAAAAAAAAAGGTTTTCGGAATATGGGTTTTTTTGTGCTTCTTTTGGATTTGTTTGGTGGAAGGTTGGATTGAGCATTGGGAGATGTGGACCAAAGCAATTCAGATTCTTTTTTCTTTTGTCGGATGATATTTGGAAACAATAGTTATAGTAGTTATTCCAATTTGTATTAAAAGATGAGTAAATTTCACTCAATTTTACCCAAATCTTATTTAACTCACTCAATTTTAATTTGTGCTATTAACATCACTCAAATTTGATAAACATATCAAATGTGATCACTTTACAAATTTCATATAAGTATTTGACAGAAAAATTATATCAGCACTACATCATCCTCCATATCACCTAATTAAGCCACCTATAAATAAAAAAAAAAAATCACTAATTGTCACATTTTTTTTCTTCTCTCTATAAATTTCTTCTCACAGTGCCTCTCACAAAAAGAAAATTTGAGCACCACTATACCCATCGTCGCCTGCCGTTACGACACTCCGACTGCCATCTTCTGCCTCTCAGAGGCTCCAAAACATCACCAAATTTCATTTTCAGACTTCCTTCAGCCTCCTCTCTCTCTTCTTACGTTTGGATTTTTACAAAAAGAAGAAGAATGGCCAGATCTAATCCGAAATTTTATTGTTACTTTTAGGGATGTAATTAATCGAATTCGAATCGATATAGTATCAAATTCAAATTTGAATTCGATTTAAAATTTGAAATTTAAAATTCGATTCGAACTCGATCAAATTTTATTTTTTTAACTTAAACTTAACTCAAGATAAAAATTAAGTTACTCAAACTCACTTAATTAAGTTCGATTAACTTATAAAAATAAATTCGATTTTTATATTTGATAAAAGCTCGATTATTTATGCTCGAGTTCAAGCTTGAGTTCAATATATTTTATTAATTAAAATAATTAAAATATATTTTAAATATAAAAATCGATTAAGCTCGCGAGTTATTCGAATTAAGTAAAAGAATAATCGAATTCAGTTCGATCGTTGAGTCGAGCTATTCGAACTCAAGCTCGACTCGATGATAGTTGAACTCAATTCAAATTTTATTCGAATCAAACTCGAATAATTTACATGTACTAATGTATCATTTACACTTTTAATTACTCCTCAACTCCATTTTATTGTTGCTAAAACCAGCCACCGATTAGAACTAGAATTAGCAACAGGTCAAGTTGAGGCAAGCTTTTGCTCGCCCTGAACCCGACCTGATTTTGTATTCATAATACCTGATCCCGATCAGACCTGAATTTTTTTTTATACCAGACATGAGTTGATTTTATATTGTCTAAATTGTACCCGATCCGACCTAAAATTAATAAAATATATTTTTTAAAGATATAAAATATTATATTTTTTTAAATATAAAATATTTAAATATATAATTATATAAATATATATATATAAATAAAAAATAAAAAAATAATTTTTATATAATATCGAATTAAATCAAATTTACCTAAAATCCGAACTCAACTCTACCCGAAATCTAATTTTCAAAAAAAAAAAATTAACCCTATGAAATCCAATCGGATCGAAATTCGTCGGAATCGGGTTGGATTACCAACCTAATTAGAACAAATATTCTTTGTCCTTTTTTTTCTAATTCTATTTCGAATTACCAACCAAAACAATTTTGGGTGTTGGAAAACGATTTTCTATTGGATCGAAAGCTTCTTTGCTGTTGATATTCTTGGTTTCTAAACAAGATAGTTCATCTTTTACTAGCAATTAATTTGCCATCTATAAATTCCTTTATGTTTGTGTCATCTTGTTTATTGAACAAACCAATCCAAATTAATGATTTCTTATTTGCAATATAACATGTCTCCATGATCCAGACGAAGTCCTACAATCACATTATTGTAAGACCACAAACCAGATTAATGTTGGATTTGCAATAGCTGCTCCTACATTCTCTTCAACAAGCAGTTGTTAAGCTTCTCTTTGATATGATATTGGTAAGGACCTACGATGTTGAATATAATTCATGTTCTTCCTCCTGTTGGTAAGAACCGTACACTGGTAAGGCACTTTGCACCAATTATGGGTGTTGTCAAATGGTTTTCTATTAGGCTTACGTGGCAGCTTATACGGCATCTGACCTGAAAATCACATCATTTTCCAGTTAATAATTAATTATAGCATAATTACTGCTTAATTCATTAATGATTAATGGAGTAAAGAAAAGTCCAAAAACTTAAAAAAAAAACCGAAAAACAATTCTTTTCCATGGGTAAAAAGTAATAATGGGAATATATATATATATATAAATAAATTGAATTTAAAATATATCTCATTAAAAAATATATATCATTAACATCAAATAAAACTATTGAATGTTAATTTTTTGCATTTGGACTCAATATTATATATATTTTCTTTTGGATACTCACAACTGTTATTTATTTTTTTAATATTTTACATGAATTTGCAAAAATGGAAGCGATGTGTCCCTGAAAATATTATAAGAAAACCTTCATTCTTAAGGAGGCATTTCCAAAATTAAAAAAAAAATCAAAGGGTAAAAAGTGTAATTTCAATTAAAAATAAAAACCATCACGTGAGTTAAGCATGAAATCCCCAACAGAAAGACATAAGGGCAATTTGGGCATATGAATAATAACCAAAATCAGTATTTCTAGAAGACTTGGCCTCGTCTTTTCTGATTCGATATTACAAGACTCAAGTTTTTAAAACCCTAATTTCACCCTTCTCTTTAATTTTCTTCCCCCACTTGTCTCTCAAATTTTTTTTTTTTTAAAAAAGAAAACCCAAATTATAATTAATAGAAAAGATCAATTTCTCATCAAACTTTCACTCATAAAACTCCTTTTCTATTTGCCATTTGTTTTTTTTTTTTTATTTGTGCTTTTTCTTCTCATTTTTTCCTTGTTTTAGATAGCTTTGTCTTTGTTGAAAACTAGGGTTTGCTCTAATGGTGGGTTTTGTGTGTTGAAATTAGGGCCTTTACAGATAAAATTTTCACTTCTTTCTCCTATAAGGGAACTGTGGGTTTCGTGGCTTCCCAGACATATAATCCTGTGAGTAATCTCTCTTCCTTTAATCTCTGCAAGCGTTTTATGGGTTTTATTGGATTTTTATGATTAATTTTTTACATGATTGCTTCGTGTCATTTGTTTCTTGATAAAGCAGCATTTTTTTTTTTGTTGGGAAAGGGATTTTTAATTTTTGAAGTTAGGATATGAGAAATGATGGGCTGGAAAATGGTTATATTACTTTGTTTTATGTTTTGATTTTGTAGGGTGTTGGGGCATTATGGGATTAAGATAATTGGTGGGCTTTAGTTCATCAAAATTACCAAGAATTTATTTTCTTGAGGTAAAAGGAAAGATTTTTTTGACTTATTGAATAAAGTTTTCTAAGAAGCATTACTCCGTTAGAGTGGGTTTATCCTGTATGATATCACATTTTTACCAATGATTTCCGGAATGATCTTCTTGAGAAGATAACGTCTTTTTTTACGGATCCAGCTGGCAGAGGAATTTGCTGTTGTGGACATTTTGTCCAGGAAAATAAGATAAAAGTTCATTTGTGGTTTTAGAGGTTTTGTGTTAACTTAATGCTTTTTGTTTACCCCTTTTCATATTGCATGAAGGTTTGATTTTCTTTGCCTTGCTGCATTTATTGAAATTGCTTAAACAGCTTGTTATAATGCCTTTGACTCCATTATTGCTTCTAGCTTATATGTATGATTAACTTCATTTTGCAATTTGTAGCATGTTTTCTTTGTCCTTGTTCCTATCAATATGGGTGTTTTCTTTCTGCTGTGCACGTTTTAATTGAGCCTTTTCTTGTTGGATTCTTTGGTGAATGACTGTGTGAGGTGTATGATATTTTCAATTAGGTTTGGAAGGTGAGTTTTGGTTGGAAAAGATGTCATCAAGGTATCAAATACTTGGCAATCGACCAATTGATCAATGGAGGGTTACAGAGTTGAAAGATGAACTAAAGAGGCGGAAAATGACAACTCGGGGCTTGAAAGAGGATTTGGTAAAACGTTTGGATGAAGCACTTCGAATTGAAAGGGAAAATGCTGCAATGGAGGCAGATAATGGTTTTAATTCTGATCCCCAGCCTGTAGTTGAGGGAGGGATTGAAAAAGAAATTTCAGTTATTTCTGAGACAGTTGAAGATGCTGTGGATCATGTTGGCAGTGAGATTGAAAAGGGGAGTGGGGTTAAGTTTCAGGTTGACATTAATGATAATGCAGCTGCTTTGGGTCATGGAGAAGTTCAAGGAAGTGACATAATGGTGGAACAGGAGCCCGTTATTCAAACCACCACAGTTCAGACTGAGATAACAGTTTCCAAGACTGTAGTATCTGAGGTACCATTGATTGGACAAGATTTGCAGATCTTGGGACAAGAGGAGAATGTAAATTCTAATATCCAAGTGGAGGATGAGGATCCAAAGCCCCAGGTGGAGAATGAGGGTCCAAAGCCCCAGGTGGAGAATGATGATCCAAAGGCCCAGCTGGAGAGTGTGGGTTCAAAGTCTCAGCAGGAGAATGATGATCTGAAGCCCCAGCTAGACATTGAGGATTCAAAGCCCCAGCTGGTGAATGAGTGTTTAAAGGCTCAACGTGAGGATGACATGCATGACTTTTCTGCTTCGAAAAACCAGGTATCTGAGGTCAGCCCTATTTTAGGGTTTCGAGTAAAATCTGATTCTATTTCTACTGATTCTGTGTCAATTAATGAAAAGATTGAACTAAAGGATAATATAATTGCTGATAATGTCAAATTAGACTTAGATGTTGTTAAGCTGGAGATGGTGGAACCATCATCCTGCAATGTTATCCCAATTAGTGGTGAATTGCATCCAATGGGTGTTGAAGAGCCACTTGAGAACAAGGCTTCTGTTGATGAGAGAGATGACAAGAATGTTACAAATGCAGACAGGAGCAATAAAAATGACAGTGCAGAGGTGGGGTACTCAGAAAAACTAAATTTAGATAGAAGTTCTGGTGATGACTCCATGGAGGAGGATGTGCTTGAGAGTAAACAAATATATTCAAAATGTACTGGTGACATGGGAGAAAATAGTGACAGAAATGAAGCGCTTATTATCAAGGAGGAAAGCCCTGTTAATGTTGTAGGAGATGGTTTAACTGCTGATAAAAAGGATGTGTTTGTTGAGAATAAGAGCCGTTCTGCTGCTCCTTTTGAGAAAAGAAAGCTTCATGGTAAGTGACTACTGCTTGCCATTGTTACTTCCTTTCTTTGCATGTCTACATACTTCTACTTTACTGTTAGCATTTTCAAGAAAAGGTGTGGGCTAATAGTGCTCGTAAGTAACAGACATCCTTAAGAGTTAAGACACCTTATTCAAGTTGGTTTTTAGAAATTGGCTCTGCTTCAGTGTGCACTTTTGGAATGCGATGCTTTTATTTAAATTTTGGTTTGTAGACATAGTTTCCATGGATGGCACTTGCTATACATATTATGAGAGAGCTTGTTAAAACACTACATTTTTTAAAGTTAATCTATAATTTTTGGCTAGAAATTGCTATAATGGTCATTTCTATTTTTTTCAAAATTGGTATTTGTCACTGCCTGGACAACAGAATTTCCAGGTATATTTTATAACATTAAGTTTACTTAAACTCTGTTGTTGAGGAATAAATTTTAAACATTTGCCCATTAGTGGGAATAAAACTGATAGTTTTCTTCTGGCTGAATGAGCAATTCTCACGTTTTGATCTGCCTTTACAGATCAGGAAGCTGTTGGGAACAATGAGCCTTCAAAAAGGCGCAAATGGAACTCTGGCAATATAAGAGTTCCAGAGCAGCAAGGCTCTAATCTTAAGCCCACCACCACACCTAAAGACTCTACTCAGCCTGCTGCTTTGAAGCATAACTTCTCTAGATCAGACTCCACGGCTAGTGAAGATACACCCAAGGAACGAGTTGGTGAGTTGTCATTTCTCAGTCAGATATAAAGGAATTCTACTGATTGTTGCTTTTAAAATCTAAAAGATTTCCGTTTCATCTTTCTTATTTGGCAGTTCTGCCGTCACAAAAACCTCCGACCACTTCCCTCAGAATTGATCGTTTTTTGCGCCCTTTTACTTTGAAAGCTGTGCAAGAACTTTTGGGGAAAACTGGAACTGTTATGAGCTTCTGGATGGACCATATTAAGACCCATTGCTATGTTACTGTAAGACTTATTACTTTGTTCTAACTCCTATCTCTTTTGTTATTGTATATATCTCTTTTGTTATTGTATAAGAACTTCACTTCCCCTGAGACTTTTGGGGTCTGTTGATTAATTTTTCATTTTGTTGTCTGTGACTTTTGTATGTTGGGCTGATTCAGTAGATCTTATCATCTATTTGGGGAATTACTTTTTTGATGCAGTATTCATCTGTGGAAGAAGCAATAGAGGCACGAAATGCTGTTTACAACCTGCAATGGCCACCTAATGGTGGACGTCTATTGGTGGCTGACTTCGTTGATCCCCATGAAGTTAAAATTCGGCTGGAGGCTCCACCTCAGACTCCAACTACTCCTGGGACTTCTGGTCCTACTGCTCCTCAAGCTCAGCCTACTTCTCAGCCCCAGCCCTCACCTCGTCTCCAGGTTTCTAGGCAGCAGCTTCCACAGCCTTCTGCACTTCCACCACCACCACCACCCTTGTCTAATCCACCAACAGTTAGAGAAAGGCTACCTCTTCCACCACCACCTCCTCCAGAGAAACTAGATACTCCTATTGTCACTCTGGATGACCTGTTTCGGAAAACCAAAGCAACTCCTCGGATTTACTATTTGCCTCTGTCAGAAGAACAAGTTGCAGCAAAACAAGCAGCATGTGGCAGAATCACCAAGCAGTAGGGATCAGGCTATAATTTATCCCTGGCTGCTCTTCGGATTTTCTTATCGGTTGGTCTGTATGTTAGATAATGGTAAGAAACTGTCACATAATTTCGTCTTTGCAGGTCTGCAGGTGTTGCTTATTTGAAGGAATTGTCCCAGCCATGTGGAAGGAACTTGTTCGGTGATGGATTTTGGTTTTCTGAAGGCTGCTTTGGGCTGAATTTTAAATTCCGTTTAGCATTAGAATCCTTAAAACTTAGAGCTTTCTTTAGTAATGGATTGATTCTCCTTTGCTTGAATTTGGTTCTCCTATTGAAAAATAGCCCCTACTACTTTTATGAACCTAATTTGATGGAATCTGACTTGTGTACGATGTTTGGCATACATTTGTTTGTCAAGGAATGTAGAATTCCCAATATTTTTATCATCTCAAATTCAATTTTCGATATGGTTCAGCTCTATGCGTAGATTCATGGTTCCTAGCTTTAGAGCTATGATTCAAAAGACGGGTGTGGTGGACGTATTGGGGCTGTGGAGCAAGTGACCTTGATGTTCATATTCTCAAATTCTTTACCTCAAACACTGGGAATCTCTTCTGTTTATTTTCGTAGCCCATGTCACAATCATATTCAGCATTTGTGCCAATGTCGATGCTAAATGCCCGGTGGAAATCATCCCCAGGAAGGATCACTCAGATTGCTTGAGTCCTCTCTCGTTGGCTGATGAAAGGTAAAGGGCATTGCCCCCCAAGTTGTTGACAAGGAAACTATTCGCAATAGTATAGCTGCAAATAGCCAGATCTAGAATCATGGTGTTCCTCTCTTAATTTTATTAAACATTGCGGGCATGCATGCATCGCTTCCACAACTGATCATCACTGGGAATTAATTTAACTCTGCTGCAATAGCAGTGTGATATAAAAGCGATATTAAAACAGGTTTAATATCCTTCTCGCTCCCTGTTCTGAAATGTTTTCAAATTGAACATTTTATTAAGGTGCATTTCTAGATTTTATAATTTAAAGATTGCTGAATCATCTTTAACATTTTATTAACCCATGAAAATGTATGTTCACGAATTTTAAGAAACCAAAATCCCAACACACGTTTTATTATATTTATTATTTTTTAATTTTAAAAAATGAAATATTAATAACCAATCTAATTTTTTTTCTATTTTATTATATATGAACTATCTACTTTTTATTCTTACATTTTTTTTAACAAGTATTTTCTATGTTTTAAAGTTTTTAACAAAAAAAAAGTCTAAGCTCAAAAATAAAAAAAGATTGTATGTTTAAAAATTAAAAATTAATTATTGATATTTCATTTTTACAATTTGTTAATAAAAGCTAAAAATTGCTCATAAAAAAAATTAAAAAGAAAATAATGGGAGGAAACACGTGACTTGCACATGCATCCGTTTAAACCTTTTATTATGTCATAGCCAAAACAAAACCCTACTTCCATGGTTGGCTGCTTCCTTCCTCTCTAAAGAAATCCTCAGCTGCCGAACCCCGAAAACACCAAGTAAAAAAATCAACAAAAATGGTGGCCGGCAAGAAAACGGTGAATACTCCTTATTCTCTTTTATTTGTTAACCTGTTTTTATACTCCTAAAAAATTGAAATCACTTTTTTTTTTTTGGGATTTAACAGAAGAAGACCCATGAAAGCATCAACAACAGGCTGGCTCTCGTTATGAAGAGTGGAAAATACACTCTTGGTTACAAAACCGTGCTTAAGTCTCTCAGGACCTCCAAAGGTTCTTCAATTTTCGCATTTTTTGTTTTTGGGTCTAATTTCATTTTCTTTTTTATTTGTGTTGCTCTTATATTTTAAAGATAATTTTTTTAATTAATCAAATTTGGGTTTTGTTGATATTTGATAGGGAAGCTGATTATTATTTCGAACAACTGTCCACCGCTTAGGAAATCTGAGATTGAGTACTATGCCATGCTTTGTAAAGTTGGGGTTCATCATTATAATGGAAGTAAGTATTTATTTTTCGTGTTGCTTTTAAAGGCCTTTCCTTTATTTTTTGAATGTTTGTATTCTGGGTTTGCGGTACTGTAGATTCTATTTTGAGTGTAATGTCTTGCGTTTCTGCTAATTTGAGCTTGTCAATAATTTATGTGATTGTTTACTTTGTTCAACTTTGCGTGGGGTCAAATTGTTGAATGGGTTTCGAAGAATTTGGTATATCTCAGCTTATTAGTGGACATGACAATTTTAGACATGATACAAAAAAAAAAAAAGAAATTGATACAATTTAAATTTTTACGAAAGCCATATATAGGATTGGCAAAAACAAAAATTGTTTTTAGTATTTGGCATGTTGAAATGAATTGTGATACAGTAATTTTTGTGTTTTAATGTACAAAACAGACAAAACGAATTGCCAGGTCTACTCATTAGTTACTGAATAAATACTAATAGAGATAAAAAAGGGTTAGTATCTTGCTCATTCTTCACTTCTTACCTCTCATTGTGAATACAATTTGATGAATTTGGACTTAATTTTTTCTTTGGGGGTTTGCGCCTTATGAGATTATGATTTGGTTTAATATTTTCTTTTTTCTTTGGGTGTTTGCGCCTTATGAGATTATGATTTTGTTTAATATTTTCTTTTTTCTTTGGGGTTTGCACCTCATGAGATTATGATTTTGTTTGATATTTTCTGTCGGATAGACAGGTTTTCTGTCAAATGCCTGACTCTTGCATTATTCTTGTTTGCTATCTATAATTCCTTTATGATATAATCCTCATGATGGAGGATTGAGTTGAATGATTCCCTTGTTGATACTCCTCTTATCTGCACATGGTGATTATCTATTTAGCTTAATGGGAGCTTGTCTATGTTCATTTTGGGTAAACTATGATTCAGAATAGGCAATTTGCTGTTTTTTCGCTGACAAATATGTCGGTTGATCGTAGGTTTTGTTTTCTAGTTTTCTCCCAGTTATTTGTCAAATGTCCTGAAGCTAATCTCTCTTTAATTCTCCAGACAATAACGATCTGGGAACTGCTTGCGGGAAGTACTTCCGGGTCTCCTGCTTGAGTATCATCGATCCAGGTAACCCCATATTTAAATTCTGTTGAATGCTGCTCTCTTCAATTTGATCATTGCAGATTACCAACTAATCCTTTCTCTTCTCTGCAGGTGATTCCGACATCATCAAGTCTCTACCCGGTGATAACTGAGTTGATCAAAGTTTAGCTTCTCTCATTTGACAGCCGAATGATTTTTCTTGCCCTTTGTTTAAGAATGCTTACTGGATGATTCTTAATGTCAAGTTGTGAATACTCTTGCCAAAATTTGCAACTTAAATGCCAGTCGTTGTTTGGTTAATGAAGAAGATTCTGGGTTTTCATTACACTGTTGAATGATTGAAATTTATGGTGCATGTAATGAAAGACAATTTGGGTTTGGCTCATTCGTTAAGCTTGAGAAATGAGTAAGTAACAATGATAAATGAGAATGTTAGAGAAGGAAAATTGAGTAAAATGATAAATTTCACCAGCATGTAGTTCTATAAATAAAAAATAATTTGTTTTTATAATTGAGTAGATGAAAAATTAGGAAAATAATCTGATTTTATGCATTTCCAACTCTTTCCATGTAACGTCGTTTTTCTACTTTCTATATACAAAAAAATTATATAACGTAAGACCATTCCGGGAAAATTATGTTCGATTGTTAAAAATGAAGTAAAAAAGAAAAATTGATGGATAATTGTAAATAAATTTGATAATTTTAAATATGAAAAAAATAAAAAAAATAGATATCAAGTAATATGATATAATAAATTTAAATTTTATTGTGTGAATTTGATTATTTAGTTAAGCACATTAGTTGTTTATTCAGTGTTGTAATAATTTATTAATTGCTTAAGTGCTGTATTAGTTAATTATTCGTTACTTGAATTTAAAAAAAAAATTTGCATAAAATTTGATAAAAATAAAAATTATGTTGGATATTTAATATAATTATACTATAATACTTTTTGTAGCCCATTTTTCTTCGTGTTTTTGCGCCAAATTGGCTCGAAATTTACAGTCTTTCACTCGACCGCTGCTCAAAGCTAAGCTAAAAAGCCTAAAGCCACTCTTTCTCTCGCTTTTCAAAGGCCTCTCCTTTCTTTTTGAAACGTACTTATTCGTTCCATTCTTTGAAAAGAAAAACGGTTTTAGGGTTTCTTTCTCTATTTGTCCGTTTTCTTGTAACTGATGCGCTTCTGATTCAACCCGTCGTCTTTTCGTTCTAAATTATCTTTCTCTTTTAGGATTTATGTGACATGCAGGCCATTGATTCTTCACGCTGTTCAAATCCCTTCATTCTCTGCATTTCTTTAATTTGGAAAATACCTTTCTTCGCTTTCCCAGTTGACTCTTTTTGTTCCATTTCAGCTTCAGGGTTTAAACATCCAAGTTTCCTTCAATTTGCTTAATTTATTAGGGTTTTTATTGTTTCTTTTTCAAATTTCACTTCAGAGGGACAAAAACCAAAAAAAAAAAACAGAAGTTTTTCTTTTCTAATTTGGGCAGTGGTTTTGGGTTTTGGTAGGTGTGGGATGAATAGTATATTCAGTGAACAGATACTTGCCGATAAGCTATCCAAGCTCAACAGCACTCAACAGTGTATTGAAAGTATCCTTTTCGTTCTTTCTCTCCATTTTTCCCTAAAATTATTGTTTGTTTCATTAACTGCTTTAAGTCTTTGTATTAGCTGAGGAGAAGAGAAGTAAAATGTAATGATTTCTCTGTTCTATGCTTGCTTGCATTGTTTTTCAGTGTGTATTCGTCTTGTTTGATGCATTTCAATGTCAAAGACAGGATATTTCATCGGAATGCCATTTAATTTTTTGTTGAAAGTAATGGTGATCCTAAGTCTGGTTGAGGTTGCTTTTAATGTTAATTAGCCAGCTACTTCAATTTTAGCTATATAAATCTTGTAATTTCCTCTCTTTAGTTGATTGATTGGGAATTGAAGCTAACTTTTAAAAACTAAGGATAGTTGGTTATACTTATTGTATCTGATATCTCGATTTATTTGTCTTTTCCCAACATTCTCAATTCTGATTCATAATGCATTGTTTAATTGTAACAACTGGTAATATAATCATAAATTGATGTGGTTTCTGAAAAAATTGTAAAAGTGCAGCAATTGGATGATTTGGATATCTAAGGTGCTCTATCTCCTAGATTTTTAATAGGTCTATCTTTCGACTTGTTAAATTACTCATAATGACATCCCTAAAACAAAATATGGTGGCATTAACCAGTCGATGCAGAAAGCAGGGAGCAAAAAGCAATGTTACCAATTTGCTATAAAAACTGTGGGTTAAATTTAAAAGAGTAAAATCTTTCTTGTTAAATTTAGCTTGGATTTATTTGACTTTGAACTGCATGACGATATTCATTGAACACAATGATTTTGTTGTTCTGACATTCCATATGAGCGTGGATTTCAATTTTGATGTAGCTTTAATCGTTTACTGCAAAATTTACTTTTCATTTGTCTAATCATCTTTTGGGCTGCATCATTGTGGTAGTGCATTGATCTTGCATTTCATATGGTATTCTACCTTGACCCATTCTATATAGCGTTGTCACATTGGTGTATATTTCACCGGAGCAAGGCAGAACTGGTTGTTGCAACATGGGATAAACAGTTTCACAGCTCACAGATGGTTCAGAAAGTCCCCCTCTTATACCTTGCCAATGATATTCTACAGAACAGCAAACGTAAAGGAAATGAATTTGTTAATGAGTTCTGGAAAGTCCTCCCAGCAGCCCTGAAAGACCTTCTTGAGAAGGGCGATGATCGTGGGAAGAATGTGGTTTCTAGATTGGTAATTTTTCTTTTTGGAGCTTTTAAGTTTTAAGGAATACAAAAGGCTTGTCATCTGAACAACATAAGTTTAGTTAGTTTTATAATGACAGTGATACTTTGTTATTGACTGAGGTTTGTGGTGTTTGTCTCATACTATCTATTATTTCATAATATTTATAATTTACCACTGACATTTTAATATGTATGCTTGGATTATGGATTAATGTTGGAGATAGCTTCAAAAAATTATGGTTGTTCTACTTGTTTGTTAGGCATGCATGTATGATGCTAATAGGTTCTGGCAGCCAATTCTGCTATAGTATCATGTTATTTTCTTATAAATAGTGACGTAAGCTGTTATAGTTATACTTTTCAATACAAATTGTTAGGTAGGTATATGGGAAGAACGGAGAGTCTTTGGGTCCCGAGCACGAAGCCTAAAAGATGTTATGCTTGGTGAAGAAATGCCTCCACCATTGGAATTAAGCAAAAAACGTCCACGCTCTACCTCTGTCAGAATTGTGAAGCGAGACTCAAGATCCATTAAAACGGTTAGATTGAGGGTCTTGCTTCTTTTTTTTTTCTTGTATCCAAAAGTTTCATCTTGTTTTGATTATAAATGTTTTGCTTGCATGGTTTATTTCAAATCATTCACATTTCTTACTTTTCTAATATGATAAAAAGCAATTCTTACTGTTATCTTATTGCTTCTCACGCCAGAAGTTGTCAATTGGGGGCACTGCTGAAAAAATAGTTTCCGCATTTCATTTGGTGCTTAGTGAACAGCCAAATGAGGATGAAGAGATGAGCAAGTGCAAGTCAGCAGTTCATCATGTGAGGAAGATGGAAAAAGATGTGGATAGTGCTTGTGCAGTTGGTAATCTTTACTCTGTTGACCTGCGTAGTGCTCTTGGTTATGTTTTCTTCTAAGAGATATTTAATGTTCATGATGGATTCCTAAAAGGTGTTATCCTATAAATTCTCTTTACACTGTAGCAAAAGATCCAAAGCGAAAAACTTTGTCCCAAGAACTCGAAGATGAAGAAAATCTTCTGAAAGAGAGCATTGAGAAACTCAAGTCAATTGAAGCAAGTAGAGCAGCACTTGTATCGCAGTTAAAAGAAGCTCTTCACGAACAGGTACCTTCATACTCCACAGGTATTCTTTCTATGTTAAAATCTTTCAATTTATTTGCAATAACAGACTGTTTATAATGCATTATCTTGCTTTCTGAAATTCTTTTCAGGAATCTGAGTTGGAGAATATTCGAACGCAGATTCAGGTATATATTCTGATAATTCTATTATGTATTCCTCTGTTTTGCTGATTTGCGGATGCAATGTGAAAGATGGGCATGTATTCAATCCTATTTAACACTTTATATCTTCAGTTCTTCTGATGAATGCTGATTTCGTATCAGTTTCTGGATGATGTTTGCTTCTAGCTTTCAGATGCTACACCTTTGGCCTCTGAGAACTAGTTGAAACTTCTGTCACGATTTGGAACTAAGAAGTCCATTAAGTTTGGGGAAACTTGAAACCGGAAGTTAGGAGTATATGCTTGCATTGGAACTTTTTTATTTTCCTTGACTGTTATAGTAAATTTGATTATGGTAATGTGTTTTGGGGCAAGTTCAATGCTTCACATTTGGTTTTAATAGGAAAAAAAAATGCTGCTTTTCTATGGATGAAGTCCTCTGAAATGTATTTCAGCTGTGAATCATTTCAGCTAGTTTATATGATGTTTAGCAATTATGAAGCATACTTAAAAAGGATGTTAGATATTGTAATCTTCTAGATGAGTAGACAATTTGATATGTTTGCATTGGGAGTTGAAGTGTCAAAGTTTTGGTCCAAATTTTCTGGGCACGAGTTTATTATAGTTGCTGCTAATCACAAAATCTTTCCTTGTATATGCTAATGTTCTAAATAGTTGTTCTCTACACGTTTTAACATATATCTAAAATCAATGTTAGGTAGCACAAGCACAGACGGAGGAAGCCTGTAACATGCGGAAGCAGCTCAGTGATGAAGATTATGTGTCAACATCATCTGCTTCAACAAACCTGCCAATTGATGCCAATTCAAAAGCTGGAGAAACACCTAAGAGGACTGCTGCAGCCATTGCAGCTGAGGTTGCAGACAAGCTTGCAGCTTCTAGCTCCTCTCAAATGATCATGCACTCTGTTCTGTCTACATTTGCTGCTGAAGAAGCAAAAAATGCGGTTCTAAGAAAGGCGTCCACACAGTCAAACTCCCTCACATCTGTACCTGTCAATTCTGCCACTGATGGAATTTCAAAATCAGAGAAGTCGATGCCAGTTGCAGATGCTAATGTTTTCATACCAGCACAAGCACTTCCTGCTCCAATAAACCATTCTTATCAATCAGTTTTAGTGCCTCAACAAGCCATGCAAAGCCAAACCACAACCTCTCAAGCTCAATATCAAATGCTTCCTAGCATCCCCTCACAACAGTTTTTGCAGCCATCAAGGGGAACACTGACTCCATACCATAGTTATGGTGGTATGCCACCATTGCCAACTGGAACACCACCACCACCTTCCTATATGGTTAGTCCAATGGTACCTTTGACTCCACAACCGTTGCCAATAAATCAGCAGCAGCCAATTCCATCAGCTCAGCAAACGGCCCCTTTGACTCAGCAGCAACTGCTGCCCTTAACTCAGCAGCCACCTGTGCCTCCTAGTTTCTGGCCTCTTCAACCGCCAGGAGTGGTGTACTATGGTCATCCGCCTCATTCATAGTAAATATTACAATCTTTTAGATTAGGCAGATGAAAATTTTGAAATTTTGTTTGTGAGATTGGAATTGTCGAGGTAATCACTTGTATAAGTCTCAGAAAAATCATACTAATGGTTCCAAGGAGCAACTAGTGAACAGGCAAGAAAAAGCAATATCTTTTCTGCAGAGTTGAATTTGAATCTTTCTACATTATTTTCTTCTCTACCCAGGGTTTGACTGTCATCTATTATTTGCAAGAATTACCAATTCCTTGGTACAGTTGTTGGGGCCTCCATTTTCTCACAAAGAAAATGTTGTATGATAAAGCCAGAAAAGTGTTGAAAAATAATCCCTGAAAGGTGCCATTAAGTCTTGAGGTTAAAATGCCATGTTACTGTGACATCAAACATCTCAGCAAGAAAAACCAATAACTACATCGCAATTATGACAGGCTGGAGAACTCAACCTTTCAATCTTTAATAAAAATTGGCAAATGGCACATAATTCCCATAATTGTGTTGTCATGGCCAGATGAGAACCAAGCTAGGCCCTTCGGGATTGATGGTTAATTGGTTACCGTTAGTCCTTCGTAGCCAATGAGAAAAATCATAGTAGCAGTGTCTGTCAAAGGTTGGAAATAATTATGAAATTGGCAAACTAATGCTACAGGTAATTAATATGATTGTATCAGTAAAATATTTTAATTTTAAAAATTAAAATTTGCTTTTTTACAATAAAAAATTAACCTGTCCATAAAAAAATGAAAAAAATTGGGACTAAATCAAACATATGAGTAGATAAGGATGACATGTCGGCTTCCGTACATCCATAATTGAAAAATAATGAAAATGGTTGTATGAAGTTGCCCCTTTTTCTGTAATGATGGGCAGTGTCTTGTCTTAGCCACATTCATTTAGACCATATATTTAATTTAATGGCCTTTGAAATTAAGCTAAATTAATGGTCGTTGGAGTAATGATCTTTCTATATTGGATGTGACTTTGTTAGAGCCAAAAACAATGTCAATTACTAAATCATTATTATTCCCACTTACAGTGTTTAATAACCATAATGGCAGTTGATACAGTCGAATGCAATTACATCTTTAGGATTTTAATTGGTGGATAACAGATTTTTATATTTGATATGTTATATTCAAGAAATTGTAATTTTCCTTTTATAGGCATTATATTTTTACAAAATATGACAATGCGATTTTTCTTTTTTTTTTTTTTTTTAGGATGGAGTGAATTGTGAGAAACTAAAGCATGCAATTTTAAAAATTTGAAAAAAAAAATTAATCAATATTTTCTCATCTATATCAAATATTTGTAATATTATCTTTCAAGTAAATTAATTTCTAATAATCACATTACATTAAAATAATTACAGTAGAACACACCAAACTCATCCTAATATATTAGTTGATGGAGAACCCATAAGTACTTTATTTATTTCTTTTTCTAAAAGATCAAAAGGTTGGTGTTTCTTCATACTTTATCCCTTTTGTGCATTTGTTTAAAAATGAAGGATGATTCTTATAATTCTTCTTTCTTCTTCCTTAAGTAAATACCTTTTGGTTTTCATAAAAAAATACATATTAATTTTACTTTCTTAATTAATCCATTTGTTGGGGATTTAACTTTCTTAACTACTCAATTCTCCTCAATTGAGCCATTGGATGGTAATTTATTTACTCTAACCTAAAAGGGGGAATGACAAAACATAATTTTCAAATAGGTATTAAATAAAAAAAAAAAGAAAGTTAGGCCGCCCCATATAATTGTATTAGAGACATGTCACCACTAGAGATAAGTCATATGAACATACCGTAAGTTGACAAGTAAAAACATCCTTATCCCTCCTTCAATAAATAAATGTAATAATAATGTGCATGTATAAATAAAAGTTTATCTTTTATACACAAACAATGAAAATTTTAATTTACAAAAATAAATTAAAAATTTATTATACAACTCATTTTGTAATTATATTTTTATTTTTTATTATTATATCCTAAAACTAATTTATTGATAATTTTTATATAAATAAATGTAATAAAAAAAGGTCACCGCAACCATTTCTTATTCACTGTTAAATATTAAATATAAAAGTAATCATTCCTTTCTCAATTCCGCAGCCATCATTTTTTTTTTTCTCTTTGCTCCAGCATCCGCCATGGCTGCTCTATCTGAATTCTTCTCCCACCTCTACACCATGACCATGGTCTTTTTCACTCTCGTACTACTTGAAGTTGCAATCCTTATCAGGTCCATCACCGGCGGCGTTTGTAACTCCGAAAAACGCCTCATCACAACATCGCAGTACCTGAAATTGATTGAAGAAAAGAACCCAACAATCCGTTACTCGAGAAGACCAACATCGAGGGTGGATCAGTCAAATGAATGTGCAGTGTGTTTGTCAGAGCTTGAGGAAGGTGAGAAAGTGAGGAGATTGAAATGTAAGCATATTTTCCACAAGGACTGCCTGGATAGGTGGCTTCAACAATATTTGGCTACTTGCCCACTTTGCAGGACTAAAGTTTTGCCTGACGAGATTGTGGCTAACTATCACAGGCTGCAAAATCAGATAGAGTATGATGGGAGTGATGAAGAGATGATTTTCTTGTTATCTGCCTTACATGGTAATAGTTTACACAGATTGTTCTGATTTTGATACTACTAGGATTGTTGAGTTTTTAATTTTAATTCACTTGGCTGACAGAAACATATATTATTTCTCTCTTTTTAGGGTAAATATATTTATGTATATATTTCTATATTAGCAATCTTGTGAAATTGAACATCTTGGCCTTCTTCAATTGCCTGTGTATTGTGTTTTCTGGGCTAATTTGTGCCTAAGTTTCTGGTCCTCAACTAGAACAAATTCCATGGATTGGAGGATGTATAGAGAAATCTGTATTGTGCCAGAATGCCAATACCTTGTTTTGGGTATGAAAGCTTCTCAAAGTAAAATAGAAATTTGTATGTTTATTAGTAATTAGTTTTATTCCAAGAGGATAATCAACAGCAACCAGAAATGAAGCCCAGTTCTCACTTATCTTGAAACAATAGATAGAGTCTTGCTTGGTGATCTAATCTATGAATCAGCTTCATGGTTGCTACCCATGCTTAGTCACTACCAGAACCCACTCTACATAGAAGTAGGTAGGCCTGCTAAAGCCAATAGACGTTTCTTCATTACCAATACCTAAAATTTTAATCTAGAAGATTGGTAGGTGATGACAGTGGAGGTTTCTTTTTTATTTTTTTACTTTAATTTTTGCTGAATAAGGGAGTGGAGTCCTTGACACTGATAAATCAATTGTGCTAAGGTATAGACAGATTCAGAGTCAGCTCAGATATAGAATGTTGCTTAATCACTTAAACAAGAGAGTTCAATATTCTGTCAACAGATCATATTACTATTTTCATTGTTGGATTTCTCCAAACTTGTTCAAAATATGTTAAAATGTAGAAAATTTGGAAATTTCTTGTTGGAAAAAGTAGAGGAAAGCAGATGTTGCCACTGGTTCTACCTAATTTATGTCAGCAAGAACCGTCATGTTGGTGTTTTTCAACTTAATTAGGTGTATTCTTTCTTAAGATTGCTGTTGTGGAAAACTTTTGTATTCTCTTTGAAGTCCTTTAATTTAAAAAAAAAAAAATGGAATGATAGTAAACCTAATTGATTGAGGAGCATGAGATCATCAGTGCTCCTAGAATTAACATATTTTATGCATCATTATTCATGGATTACTTAGTGAACCGTACTTGAACATTGTTATCTTGGCCGGCCTTTCTCTAAATTTAGCTGTTAAGGTCAGTTCCAGAGGATATATTATTTTTTTTGAAAAGGAGGATATATGATATTTATATCTATTGCTGAATGTGGATTAAGTCTCAGTTTGATCTAGGCTTTGCTAGTGAGGAAGCATATAAAATTTTCTTTTGCAGCTGTGTCTATTGTCTGGTTAAAAGGAAGAGGCAGGAAAAGAATGTCCATCTTTAATTTCCTTCCTTTTGAGTAGTACAAAACTGGGTAAAGTAAAATGGGTTGATTTTGCTCATTTTTACTCTCTCTAACTTCAATTTTTTAAAGGGTCACTTTAATTTTGCTATTGCAGTTGAAAAATTTTGGATTTGAAAAAAAATTGTTTAAAATGTGATATGTAAAATTAACATATCTAAAAGTATATATATAGAATAATAAAATTTTAGAAATATTGGGATAATATAATATATTTTTATTTGAAACACATTTTTCACCATAAAAGTTAGAAAAATTTTGGATTGGAAATAATACATTTAAATAGTGATATTAGTAATTAAAATATCTAAAAAAAATATGCATAAAATAATAAAAATTTAGAAATATTAGGATAATATAATTTTTTTTTTAATTTCAAACATACTTTTTCACCACAAAACATCCTTTGAAGAGATTCTTTTAGTGTTAGAAAATCAGGGTTTTAAATTGGAAATCACTTTTTTTTTTTTTTGTTTAATATTGAGATTGAATCAAAAGCAGTAAAAACTACTTTCAACAATAATACAAACAATATAAAAAATATTCATTCAACTAAAATTGATCATTTTATTTATAATTTCACTTTCAATCCTTTTATTTTTTTTATTTATTTTCTTCATTCATATCAAATATAAAAAGTAAAATAAAATAATTTTCTTAAAAAATTTCTTTCTTTACATTTTTTCTTTTTTCGAGACCAAACAACAAATTTAATATTTGCTTATTTAGAGTTTGACTGGAAGAGATTAAAATTTAAAAATGTAAGTGCATATTCATATACATATATATATATATATATTTATATATCATCAAATCGAAGGTTTCTGCCAATTGTACAGAGTTGGTCACAAAAAATTGCTGGCTTGAGAGCCTTGGTTTCGTTTTTTTTTTTTTTTTGTCAATATGTGCTTTTGCTGTGAGGTACTTAAGGGAACGATTTATTATCACATTAAATGCAGTAATTGACAAATAACTTTGTGATTTTTAATATCACATATGGTGAATATATTATTATTCTTAATAACTCTAACAAATGTTGTTAAGAAACTCGTTAGTAAAATTCTTTTATGTTTTATAATTCGAACCATGAAAGTGAGTTTATGAAGGGAATGGTGCCTGCCTGGGCACGCTGAGAGGGTGACCTTAGGCTTTTCTTCCAAAACAATAATTAATCCATTCCTCTTTTATTTTATATACAAATTAGATACTGATTTTCTATCGTTTTTTGTAGGCTTGATTTTTATATTTTTCTCTTTATTTCTCTCTTTTATTTATATGGATTTTATGAATGATTAGTGTTAATCATCGGGCGAGTTAATATCTGTATATGAATTATTTATATTCTATAGTTTATGCTTTAACGAGTGTTCAAATCAATAATATTTATAAAATATTAATAACCAAAATATCAAAGTAGTATTGTCTCATATCTAATAAATATATAATTTTTTGTAATTTTATATTCAAGTTGATCCTTTTATTTATTACCAACTGATTTAAAATTAGATGTTTAATATGATATTAAAGTCGAGATTAATTTTTTTCTGTTGTCTTTTTTAAATTTATCACGTAATAAGTTTCTTTCATATTTGCTTACACATGATAAGAATTTGTTAAAGTGGTGTTATCTTACATCTAATAAATATATAATTTCTTATAATTTTATATTTAAGTTAAATATTTTTACTTACTACTAATTGATTTTAAGTTGTATGTTTAATACAAAATATTATTTTTCAAAATGAAATGATTAAATAAAAAATTTTAAAAAAATTAGATGACAAAAGGTTAATTTATTATTTTTTTTCCTTTCGTTTTATGTTTAATGATCTTCGTAGGCTTCTCGATACATAATTGTAAGAAACTTATCATTTGAAACTCAAATAAAGAAATGGTTAATTAAGATATCATATGTGATTTATTCAAAGTTACAAACTTACCAAGTATAAAAAAAAAAAAAAATCATTCTTACTTTCACTAGAGTAACATTTAGTAAGTTTATAATTTAAAATTTAAAATTAATTTTTTTTTTTACTTTCAAATTGCATTTTCTTTGTTAAAAAAAATAGTGTCCTTTATAGATGAAATGACAAATAGTAAATAAATAAGCATGAAAGAGGGGGGAAACTTCTCTATACTCACATAAATAGAAGTAGATTTGGCTCAGTTCGGAATCAATTACCAAACATAATGAAGTTTTTAGGAAACAAAACAATCATTCCTTGTTACTTTTTTGCCTCTGCTTTTGTATGGCAGCTAAGCCAAAGATGATGGATTCGTACAAAACATAATAATTATTCTCTCTAACAGCTGAAAACATTTGTGATGAAAAAAATTCTCAATTGTGGGTAAAAGGATAAACATAATAATGATCGTTAACCTCTCAAGTCGTGACAATCATCCTAAGTTTGTAAGTTCATTAACAAGTCATAATTTTATAAGCAATTAAAATTATTAAATTTAAGTTTATGCTGTCATTAAATAATATTTAATAAATATAAAATTTAAATTTGAACATTTATAATTTTTTTAATTTTTAAAATATGACTTCTTATGTTAAAAAAATTAAAAATATAATTTTTAAATTATTAAGAGATCATATGTGGTTATCTTTAGGGGTGTAAATGATACATTAGTACTCGCTAGTTACTCGGATTCGATTCGAAAAAAATTCGAATTCGATTCGATTATTGTCGAGTCGAGCCTGAGCTCAAATAGCTCGACTTATTGATCGAGTCGAATTCGAGTATTCTTATATCTGATTCGAGTAGCTCGCGAAGTTAATCGAACTTTTATATTTAAATATATTTTTATTATTTTAATTAATAAAATATTTCGAGTCCGAGTTCGAGCATGAATAATTCAATTCTTGTCGAGTATACGAATCGAGCTTATTTTTATATATTAATCGAGCTTAATCGAGCGAGTTCGAGTAGCTCGAATTCGATCACGAATCGAGCTCGAACTTAAAAAATAAAACTCGATCGAGTTCGAATCGAGTATCGAGTTTCGAGTTGTGAGTCGAATTTGAGCTCGAGCTTCTCATTATTCGACTCGACTCGACTCGTTTACGGTCCTAGTTATCTCCAACAATCATATTTTGGTAATTAAAGTTCAAGATTTTAATTTAAAATGTTTGAATTCAAATCTTGAGATACCAACATATATATATATATATATTCATTAATGAATATTAAAAAACTCAATCTTCGATATATGATATAATAATCTAATAATTATATTAAATTTTTATTAATTACTAGACAATAGCACAATATGAGTTGTCGCAAGCTCTCATTGCCAATGGCCATCTTAATCTCAAATTATGCAATATGTAAACCAAGCATGACAATCTTACATGATATGTCAATCAAATGTCCTTCAAGTGTAAACTTACGATCACATCAAAACCATCAATCCACAAATTTCACAAATGGATCTCAATTGGTTAATTAAATATTTGGAATTCAAACTTATAAAACAATTATCAATTTGGTACGTGAAAAAAATTCAAATTTAAATACTTAAACTATGACTTTCTTTCATCTTTCAATTTACACCCTATTAGCTAAATGGGTGATATGTTTGAAAACATCCAATCACAATTTTGTCATGTGTCCAAAATATCATGCCATTTTTTTTGTTTTTTTTTTTTGATTTTTTTTAATTTTTTAATTAAATATCTAAAAAATCTAAAAAAAAATAAATTTTCAAAAAAGTTCAAATTTAAAAAAAATAAAAAAACAAGAGAGAAATAAGGAGATGAAAGAGAGGGATAGGAAAGAAGAGAGGAAGAAGCAAGGGAGTCGACGACAACGAATCACCATTACTTTCGCCTTCCTTTTCTTCTCTTTTACTTTCACTCTCGCCTTTCTTTTTTCTTATCTTCTCATTTTTCTTTACTTTTCGAATTTTTTAAAACGAATTTTTTGAAAATTTTAATTTTTTTTTCTAAATTAAATAGTTTAAAAAATGAATGATGTCTTTTTTAGATACGTTACACATTATTATCAAATTTTTTAAATACTTAATTCAAATTTACGGATGAAATTATAACATTGAATACTTGATTTGTAAATTTATAAATTTTTTTAGCTATCAAATTGACAATTTTATTATAATTTGATTTGTATTTATATAAAAAAATTATATGTTTAGATTTATTATATATAAACATTTTTTTCAATATAAATATTAAATCTTAGTATAATTTTGTGTTAAGAAAATAATAATATAGGAGTAACTTAGTTGGATTCAATATACAGTCTTACTTCTAAAACAAGAAAGCCCAAGACTTGCTTAAAAGGCCGTTTAAATGCACTGGTATGCAGCTCATTTAAGCCTATCATACATCTATTGGGCTGAGCTCTTATTCACCATACTCAAAAAATTTTTTATAGTAAATTTAAAAAAAAAGTGCTACACAAAAATCATAATTTCAAGCTTAGCCACTATTTATTCATGATAATGGCACAGCATCATTTTTTTTTCTATGAAATTCGTTTGGTAACCCGGAATGATCTTCCGAAAACATATATTTTAAATGAAAAATTAGTTTAGAAAAAACAAATTTCAGTTGTTTGATAAAATTTTTAGAAGTTGCTTTTCGATGTTCGGCTTTTGATACAAACTGCCCAAAATTTTGTAGCTTTCACATTTAAAATTTCATAATCCAAATTTCAACAATTTAAAATTTAACTTTCATACCCAAATTTCGAAGGAACATTTTGAATCCAACAAAAATTTATTGAGTCGTGGGGTGTGGGTCTAGCGCAACTTTGGCTATGGCCATTGAACACGAGTCATGAGAAAGTGAGAGAGAGGGATAAAGAGCAAAGAAATGAAAGAACAGAGAGAACAATAATAGACCAAAAAAAAAAAAATTCAACATTGACAGGTTAAAGTGGTTGGGACTCGGAGTTTTTTTGC